AAGGCTGCTGCTGCTCCTCATCCACTGCACCAGGAATAGCATCTCAGACTGCCCACATACTAGGATGATCCTGGTGACTAGCAAAAGCTAACATCAAGGATGAACAGGTCTTTATTATGCTATTAAATAAGTTACCTTCCAAATTATTAGCATTACCAGGAGCTAAGAGCACATTTCTCAATCATCCAGACAATCAAGATAATTCTAGCTTCTGTAATTTGTTCCCGACAGCCTGAGACATCAGTAACGACACAGAGACTTTGTGCACATCATTTGGCAGCTCCAGGCCTGGCACACATTGTCTCTGCCAGTCCCATCCAGAGATCCAGGCAGCTGATCCAACTGGCTCAAGAAGCTACCAGGACTCTTCGAGAGTGCTTAATCCAGGCTGATTAAAAGCCAAAAAAATTAACTCTGCTCATAAAGGACGGAGCATGATCCTTTCAAGTGCTCCATTTATTTATACCAGCCTTTAACAACCCTTGGTGTTGGACAAACTGCACACGGTTGTGGTCACTGTCTCCAAGAGGATAGAACAGAACTAGGAAGGGACCAGAGCAACAGCATAGGTCAGTGGTGCACAGAAAAACTCTGAGGTCAAAGGAGGTTGAGTAACAAATTTCTGACAGGGGAAATGCTGGAGATTCACAAAACCATAAGTATACAGAAAAGGGAATTACTGTTCTCTAGATCTTACTACACAAAATCTAGAAGGCAGCAGTGATGACAAAAGGGATAAGCAGAACTTTTCCTTGTGGTATGTGATTAAACCATAAGACCTGTTATGCAGGATATGATGAAGGACAGTCCCCTTGGAGCACACAGTTTGAAAGCAATCAGACCCCTATATTTTCTCAAAAATCCCTAGACATCTGAAGTTTGGGAATCAGGAAAATAAGGATCATTTTATCCATGTCTTGTTCTCTATTCTTCCCCTTAGCAGCCACCCTGTTACACCAGCTCCAGCTAGAGACAACGTCTGTAGTTTAGCCTAGTACAGCAGTTTTTCAGGCTATTGTATTCAAATCCCAGGACACCAGAAGAAATGTTCCCATGAACTGCAACAGGAACAGGTCTGAACCCAGGCTTGTAGCTCCATCCACTGCCATCTGAAGGGTTTGGATGTAGAGAGGACTTTGTTCCCAAGATAACTGTGGATTTCTGAGGTTTCCACCCCAAGACAGGCTGTAGCAGTAGAATAAGAAGTCCCTTCACTCCTACCTAGGGAAAAGTGCATTAAGATCATATAGTCCCAGGCCAGTTGAGAAATTGCATTTTTGTGTGATTTAGAGCTGTTAATGGGTGATGTCATCACCGAAGCAAATGCAATCCCATAAAAATGTGAAAATAAAGTGAGCAGGAGCTATAAAATATACATGTGTCTCTCCACAATAGCAACAGGCACATGACAGCAGGGCAGCTTTCCTCGATACTCATCTACAACTGGAGGAGTTCACAAGAAATAACCAAAAAAATTACAGAAAAGACAAAGTCTTTCAAGAAGCAGCAATCTATTATTTTCCCAGGCCTTTATTAACAGCAAATCAGTATTCTACCTTGAAAGTAAATGAAAAAAAAGCATCACAGCATTGCTGTGGAAAGAAACTGAGTGTTTTCTGGATCAACAAACTAGGATAGTTTGGGCCACTATCTGTTAGACTCCAGTTTAGCTCCGTAGGATATTGATCCTGGGTGCATATAACACAGCCCTGATTTATTTTCTGATTAACAAGTTCTGCTGTCTGATTTTGACAAACAAAATGTCCATCATTGCAGGTAAATAAAATACATATTTATCAATAATGCCAGTGTGCAGGCATTGAGTAGCAAAAAAAGGGGGTTGAAAAAAAACAGATGGAAAGGGTTACTGCATGATCACTGTAATATTTACATAAGGGTAAGTTCAATAAATGCAGAGCCTTCCCCCACAGCCTCCTCCAAAACACACCCAGACACTGGCTGGCCTTCTTCCTACGGAAACAGCTAACGAGAGCAAAGCTGCTCTTTGCTTTTATGGGTTTTAGCTAAAAGCTGAAAATGAGATCAGATTTTCTGACATTCACCATTTACCTTAATAAAAATGTGCACTCAACAGGATTAACAGGTATACAGCTCTGTGTGCAGTATCATGAAATGCATTTTTGTGATCTTTCATGCTTACCCAGGAAAAAGAGAAATCAAAATCCCTCTATAATATTGAGGATCAATGTGAAACTGAGCTTAGGAACTGAACACTGATCACTGCCTGGGAAACATGAAGTAACATTTTCAAGTAGAAATCTTGCACATATGGCAAAGGAAAGCTTTTGATAGAGTAGTAAAATGATATTTCAAAAACTGATGTCCTACCTATCTATATTTATAAGAACACATTAAGTATGCGTTTAGCATCATCCTTTTTTATTATTCTTTAATAAATTACAGAACCTGCTTGATCATTTTTTGAAACACACAGTTCTGAGACTACCTCCCACAGAAACGAAAATTAAGGTCCCACTTTTGTCACCACCTCGCAGCCCCTCTCTGGAGAAACAGCCGGATTTGTCAGGAGTAAGTGTTCTTCCCCAGCAACTGGCCTTAAAAACCTCGATGCAGAAATGCCAGGATGGTGTCTGTCTCCAGTAACCAGCTCTGCTCCGACTTCGCCTTGCTAGCCGAGCTAGGGCAGGCAATGGGCAGATGAGAGGGATTCTGGCCAGTGAAAGAAGCCCAAGGAAGAGGAGCTCCTGCTTTCTAACACAGACCCATGGCAACACAGGAGTGAGCTAAGAACATAATAAGGATCTAGGAAATTCAGAGCAAAACACAACAGGCTACAGAGAAAACACTGATTCAATCCCCTGAGTGAAGCTGGAGATCTTTCAACATTATTTCTCTACTATAGGTCCCTCCACTTCATTACCAGGTTTGGAAATACAGCCCCAGATTCAGGAAATCACTTATCTAACCAAGCACATGAGTAACCCTGTTATTTTCAGTATTCCCTCCCCCCTTCCCCAACCCAGACACCCAAAATTGGGCATGAGTTCAAGCACCTTGCTAAATCCAGCCGTGGAATTACAGGATTAGAGTTCTGTGGATTTCCTCAGTGGAGATGACTCTCGGACTTAATGTCAACCAGTTTACACTTTGCCTTCCCTGCATTGCCTGCCTGGTGGGAAGTCCATGTACAAGACAATTTCAATACAGCCCAGCTAGTATCACCCTTGGAAACCAGCAGCTTTGACGTTAACAGGATTGTACTTCAAAAAGAATACGCATGTTTGCAGATGGCAACAGGGTTCCTTATTACAGCTGTCTAATCAAGCCGATATTCCGCAATTATGCTCAGAGATCAAACAGCGCTGCAAACAGCACTCATGATAAAACCAGCGCCAGTAAGATGCCAGTGTCACGCCTATAGCATCGCAGATTCAGCTGTGAGTCCACAAGCATGGCGTGTACAGGCGGTGTTTCAACTACCACTGTAAAACTTTGAACATCTCGGTCACAACTAGGCAGCTTTACAAAAAAATACCTGAATTTATGAAAAAAACAAAAAACAAATCTAAAACATGCCTAAACAAATAACAATATGGCTGTAATTCAGGAAAGCTTTTATGTATAGACTTAACATTAAGTGCAGAACCACTGGAGTCAGCTGAATTCAAACGTGTACTTGAATGCTTTGATGAAGGATAAATTAAACCACATGCCAAAGTCCCTTCCAGAATCAGGGCCTTGATTTTTTTTTTTTTTTTTTTTTTTTTTTTTTAAGCACACAAAAGGGCATAGTGCTAACTAGGAATCAGAACATACCATCAGTGTGAATAATTGTAGCATCTGTGCTAATTCTCTTTTCATCCTGGTACCCCCTATGCTTCCAAGTATGTAAATCTGATTCTCCTTGTGGCTCCACTGAAGTTTCTATTGATTAAATACCCAGCCCCAGCAGCAGGAGAATCAAGCCCTGCATATTTATTTTCTTCCTCTCAATACATAAAGAATTCCCTTTGGCCTCTCAATTGCTATATCACATGGTACTCTGAATGCAAATAGAATTACAGTGATAATATATCTAATGAATACATTTGTATATGTATGCAAGCATTTTTTTTAACAGCATCCTACTCTACACCACTAACCAAATCAAAGAATATATATGTTCATCACACACAGTAGCAGAGAAGGTGTGTGAAATAAGTGCATATTAATAACAAGAGCCAGACTGCAGTCTTCTGGAGGAAAAAACAACTGAAATCCTTCCAAGATGAAGGCTGCAAGATCAGGACCTTATGAAGACCTTTGGAACTTTTCCTTTGGAGCTTTAAAGCACAATTTGTAGACCATAAGTGTTAATGTTTGTGTTTTCATTATCCACTAGCATTTTTATAAATAGATACAGAAACTGTTGCAACGTATAACACAAAAACATTGTAAGCATTTCCAAGAAATAAATTAGCAATATCATTTCAAAGCACGGTACAAAATGCTCAGGTACCATTTTCAGCTTTGTCCTTTATAAGACATGCACCCTCTCTGAATTATTTTTAGAAAAGTTATTTTATAGCAGACCAAATTCATTCCTGCAGAAACTTCACTGATTTCAGAGTTGTAATAGCTTAAAAATGGGATGCATTTAACTGTTAGCTCACTCCACGTTGACTTTTAAAGTCATACTGTAACATCAAAAGACAGATTGATTTAAATCAGGTTCAAGTATCCACTGGCAATTAGAACCTGAAAAGTCCAAGAAATGTCAATAAGTATCTGGATAAGATACATGCCAGGACATAACCAAATAAATATCTTCAAAACCTCTTTTTAGTTGGTTCAAACAACACTTTGAAAGTGTCTCATTGAGCACAATAGCCATTATTTAAAGACACTAAGGTCAGAAATGCAAGTTTTTAGTACCACTTCACTAAAATCACTCCCACCCCAATCCACAGTTAAAAAGCAATACAGATCAAAGCAAGAGTCCCCCTTAAACTTAGGGCAGGCAAGAAGAGCTCACTTACCCTGTGAGGACCACAACAAAATCCATCACGTTCCAACCATTTCGGAGGTAAGAGCCTTTATGAAAAACAAACCCCAGAGCGATGATTTTTATACCAGCTTCAAAACAAAATATTCCAATAAAGTACGGCTCAGTGTCATCCTGAAAAAGAATAAAGATCCAAGGTGTCAAGGAGATACCTATGCTTCTGCACTGATAGCAAGAGACATAACTAACTACGTGTACCAAGCTCATGCTCTTTTCAGCTCTCTGTTCAGAGTTGAAACCAAAAGTTTTAAGTTTACCGGAACTAAGCAAAGAGAAATTCATTATTATTTCTCTGAAGGTGAATTTGTTTTTTCACATTGTAAATTCTATTTGTCTTTACTCTGATCACTTCATCCCACACTTTCTACATTAACTTAATATTCTGGAGGGAATTTTAATACTGAAAATTTGCTCTAAGGGTATATTTAAACTTGAGATCACATATTTCTGTAGTTATTGACATGGAAGAAAATATGTGCTTTACAACTAATGCAGGAAACTGAAACAAGAGGATATCTTGGGGACTAACAACACAGAAAGCTTGCAAACACTGTCATTAAATTATTTATCATTTATTCCATCAGTTCTTCCTTCACTCTTTCTCCTCCATTTTCTCAGTTTCCACAGCTGCAGTCTCATTTGTTTTCCTTTCACTGCATATCTGATCCAGGAAGAAATCCCCATTCTCTTCCATTAACAACAGCAGCAGTGAGGTTTGTGTCTCAGACCCATGGTACAGACTAAAGCATTCAATGGGATCACAGCTTCATTTCCTAGCCTAGATAGAAAAATCAAGCTTAGTCTCCACACTTTTACTAAAACTTTTTTCATCTATGGCACCAGATCCCTCAGTATTATACTGTATTGACGACAGTTTCAACACAAATTCAATGCCAAATGGAAGCATTCACATTTGGAAGGCAAGAAGTGGGAACAAAGCAAAAGGTGAAAGTAATGAGCATCAATTTCAAGAACATGTTAATTAGCTTTGGCACATGTAAACAATTTCCAAATGTGCCTTAGATCCTTGATTTCAGCTGAAGTCAATGGAAGTAAATCAGTCCTATCCCAAAGGAAGCAAACTCCCAAATTGAGAGATTAAAAATCTTTGTTCCAGTGGCTTTGGCATTTCTGACCATCAGAGCCAAAGACTTGAGTTGCCGCTTGATGCCGTTGTTTACATTTTGCAAGTCTACTAATGACAAAATGTGATTTCAGTTCTCTTGTACAGAAAAAACATGATTGTCAAACCATGTGGCCACAGAACAAAGAAAGAAGCACTTTTAATACAAGAATTTATTATACTAGCATGGCAACTCTCACTCAACTCTGACCCAGCACTGGCACACAGCCCCATGCTTTAGGCACAGTACTTGTTACACAAAGCCAGGTTTTTCACACCTAGGGAGGGGTATTCTAGGTCTTTTAAGAGGTTTATGCACGTAGCACATTGATGTATACCCAACTCATCAAGTCAGTCACAAAGCACTAATCAGTGAAGATGCCCCCAAAGCTGTTGGAAATTACTTCTATAGAGACTTTTCCATCAGTGGCTGAATTCAAGTTTTGTTTCCTATAAAGCAGCACCCCACATATGTACACACCTCAGTGACCCCAGTTCCTCCATACACTTCATCTTTCATCCTATGTCATCTCTACTCCCCTCCACCTTTCCTAAACTCACAGCCCTAGCAACTCCAGCTCCTATTCCCCTACAGCCAGGCAAGGTGACCAGTCACCTGCAGATCACACACACACGTACTGGCTGGCCAGACAGCAAAACAAAGCATGTGACTATTGAGCTCACCCTGGGCTGAAATGGAGGGAAAAAAACCTAAACCCCAAATTAGCTGCCCCCCTTAAGCCAAGGAAATGCTTCCACAAACAACAGCATCTTCAAGCCCACTGTCCCTCCACAGAGCCTCACTGACGTGGCTCAGAGGGCACAGAAGCTATCACTGACAGACTGGCAGAAACTCCAGCTACCCATCTCAGTGCTATTTACCCACAGAGAAACAGGAACAAGGCAAGACCATCAGATCTTTTATGACCTTCAACAGAAATCCTACAATAAATCTTCCTTCAGCAGTTCCTCCACAGCAAGAGGCAAGAGTTAGAGGCATCCCAGGACTCCAGCCCAGTACGGGAAACATGGAAGGAGGGGCCAGAAATCATCATGTGTTATTTCAGGAAAAGCTACCTTACCATGTCTCTGCTTTCTTTTACACTCACAGGAGAATTCTAACAGCCCAGTCTGCCTGCTCTTCAACCCCATGATACCTTCTAGTTCAACAAGCATATACAATCTTTGCAAACAAAAACCTCCTAGCCCATCCTATATTTCCATCTCACAGTTACTAGCATTCTTCTAAAAATAGCTCTTCTAACACATGCACCCCCTAGATAAAAAAAAATAAAACCCCCACCTACACTCCCCCTCATTACTCCCTCACTTCCTGGAAGCCTTATATCTACTCTGCTACTAGTCCTTTGCTCGGTCTAGGTCAGGTGCCTTGCGAGTACATCTCCCAGCTTTAAAGAGCCAGGCCTCAGGTACTCAAGGGTTTGATAGAATATGCTCTTCCAAAAGCTAGGACTACACAGAGCTCTTAGGAATTGGGTCAAAGAAGTTCTTGTCAGCTTCTAGGGAAGCAGGAAGGCTCACATATGGGCTTGGGTATTTATTACAAAGAAAAACTGTCATATATAGGGTTGGTAGTGAGTAGCTGGGGAGATAAGAGGGGTCAGAAAATGGGTCTTTTCCAAGGCCTGTCTAAATTTACACTAACTTTTCCAAGGCCTGTCTAAATTTACACTAACTTAGCCTAAGGATCAGGGCACTAACAACAGGATGGATAATAAAGTTTATGCCCTATTAGGTAGTGGGGCCTGCTGCTGAAAAAAAGGATTCACGTGACTGTATGTGATGGAAGGAGCTGGAGGACAAGGACATGGGTGACATGCCCTGTGCAGTACTGAAATGGCACTGCTGTCAGCTCAGAAATCCTGCTGCCAGGGCATCCTGCAGCCCCCTTCAGCCTGTGTTGCTGCTTGGGTTCAAGAGTGGGAAAGCAGGTGATAATGAGTATCAGTGTGTGTGCTTGGAAGGAGGGTGGAGAATTTGGGCAGCAGCCAGAGCTGTGCCAGCAGGTTGTTTGCTGTGGACGCAACAAAGCTTGAGACAGGGCCAAACACACATTTCATCAATATGTTTCAGAGAAGAAACAACTTCTGAGTCTGGAAAGTCATTACTATTCCTAGCCCATGTCCTAGTGGCTTTCCTTGGCCTTTGGATGTGACAGCCTTGATAGGTTTGCGTGTGTAAGGCTTTGTTCATGCAGAGATTAATATGAACAGCTCACATACAACTGCACGAAGTGCCTGTGGATAGGATAAAGAATTAAATCCATTAGTAAATTGCAAGAGCTGTCATGCTGAATATCTGAGAAAAGTTATATTCTGTCCCCGTATCAAAAACATCCAGAGGAGCCAAACACTCAGGGCCCTGCTGTGGCATGCAGACGAACATCCTACGGACCCACTGGAGTCTTCAAATAGGGTGTGCCCCAGAGCAGGACAGAAAATGGATTTTCTGTCCTGCAAGTTCTGATATTGTCTCTGTCAGGCTGGCACAAATCTATGATCTACCGAAGCTTCTCATGAAAAACTGAGAAATTAGAAAGAAGACAAGGAGAGAACAAGTGTGACTCAGCCTGGACAGTCAAGAACCTCATGAGCAAGGCATCCACCTCCAAGGCCATTCAGGGCTCAGATGTGAAGCTCATGTTCCCACATTTAGAGCTCTCACCGCCAGGCTCTAGGCCACTCAGTACAACTCCCTCAGCATCTTTTCAGCTGGCACCACTCCAGTGTGTACAAACAATGCAATATTTATTGGGACAGAGAGAGACTGACTCTACAACCCATTGGCTAAGGCACTCAGCTGATATGGACAGTAGCAAGTTTGTAGCATTTCTGTTCCAGTGGATAATTACTGATGCGAACACTTCCAGCAGCCAAAGCATGCGAAGCTCCAAGCTCAGAGCAGGCAAGAGCCTAGTGTGTAGGTCATTCTGCTGCTAGTGGAAGAATGAGCTTATTTCTCTTGTCTGAAGAGCAAAGACTTGGAGCATTCTTGAAGCCAATGCTCCAGTTCACCACTAAATGCTTTGACCACCAGACTGATGGTTTTTCAAAGCCCTGGTTTTGACCATAATTTCCATCCTAGACGCAAGTAATGTTTTTCTGTGCTACACAATGCATACAGAAAATGGACAGAAAAAGATTACTCATAACTCAGCCATTCCAATTCTTCAAACATTGCATATACTGAGACATCACTTGCTCTTCCCATGTGCTTAATTAATCCTGCTTGACAAGTAACATGAGCACAGAAAACAGCCAAGTGAGATTGCACTGCAGGTTCGTATCTTGGGTGTCTGGGGAGATACATAGAAGCAAATTTTGATTAGAAGAGAAAAATCATGAAAATGTTTGTATGGACTCCTCTCTATTTTTCTCAGCTTTAACAAACAATCTTGACATTTTTGTCGTTGTATCTGTGGCGCAAAGTAACTGGACAGCTTTGCTTTTCCTTCAACAACTCTGCCTACATCTCCTAGTCATAAAAGGCTTGTGATGTGCATCTCATATCCTTAAGATCTGATTAACTCTTCAGTGATGAGCCCTCACTCCAATTTGGAGATTTTAATGAACCCAGGAGAATGAAAGGTATATTCATAAATCATTAACCAAAAAAAAAGGCCAATTGCATTCCTGCCAAAGACAGCAATAAAGCACCTGCTGTTCTGCATAGACTTATAATTTGACTCAACAAACATGTAAATGCATGGGAACGTTTGGCCACTCTGGTTTAGAATGGATTTGTAACATTTTCAATGAAACAACTTACAGTTTGTGTCAGCAGTAGGAGCATTCTAAAGAGGTTTCACTTTGAAAACTAAAATACATTTTTTCTTATTCATAATGCTTAATCTTTCCAACATGTGTTGAAAACATAAAATATTTCATAACTTGTAGAGATTCTCAGTTTTATTATATGATAAACCCCTTTATAGTCCAGAGTTACAAATGTGCTGTAGTTAAAATGGCTTCAGAATATCTGGAGCAAAGACAAGGCTTCACAACACTGTTTGGGACAAAAATCAGGGGTTAATTTTTCCTTCATCACTAAGGCAGAACCAGCAAAGTGGAGGCTGAGCATTTAACTCACACAGTTATCTTACACTGTTTGGTGGTAATGCCAGTGCCCCCCTTTGGAATGATTTGGGCAGGAACTGAAGGTTTGTTTGTGGTATTAGGCACTGTAAAACAGAATTAATACAATGGGGGAAAGGACCAGTAAAAAGCCTCTAGGATGCCCATACACATCTAGGGATCTAGAGGAGCATAGAAACAATGTGCTAATCATACCTACTGATGATTAAAAATAACATATCACCGAGTTACCAAGCCAGAACATCCATGAAACTTCTTTTCCCCTTCACTAGTCCCTGTGTTCATGACTACAGAAGCCATTTCCCCAGCCCGATCGCTGCCCTACATCTAACCCTGTGCTCCACTCAGAAGGCCAGGCTTGTCTTGCTCACCAGTCCCAAAACATACAAAGACATGCTTAATGGCAGAAGGACGCAAAGTACATGCACGCTTTTAATTTTTTCCTCACCTCTTCTTATGTAGAAATAATTAAAACAGAAAGAGACTAAGCAAACACAACGTAGGTGGGCGGCCAGCATGAGCGGATACATTTCCAAACAGGCAGCACCAACTACCTGACCCTGAAGTCCTTTCTAGATCTATCACGTACACACTTCTTCCTGTTTCTGAAGAATGAGATTGTGAGAGCTGCCCACTGGTATGGACCAACCTTGGAAACTGAAGCAACCAGCATTCAGCAGCTCTAGCTTTTGGCAACAAGCTTAATATTATCTTTGTATGCATAATTTAATATCTACATGTAAAACACATATGGATCCATATTTATTCATCCTTTGAACGTGCACCAGGATTAATACATTTAGGCATGAATGATGTTCCAGATCATTAACAGCAGGAGAAAAATCAAACCAAATGTTTTCCATTTTTCCTACAGTGGTGATAAATAGAAGAATGATTTTGAAGCTATTCTTTTCTTTTGAAATAAGGTAATTGGGCTCATTACCATAAAACCTGCAGTTAAAATATTTTTTTCTGTAAGTTGTTTTATTTTTTTTTTGGAAGGGAAGTGTAATCATCTAAACCCAAAGTTTGTTTTGTAGGGTCCGTGATATATGCTGTAGCAGGAAGACAGCTGAAAGACATACAAACCTAAAAGTTTACTCTGTTCTACCACTTCCTGGGAAAATATCACAGAAGTTCATTTGATTCTACAGCTCATGCTGAGCATTTGTCAGTCCCTTCCCGTCTTGGTTGATAGACAATCTAAGGTTGCTGCTCTCCTGGTCATAATGTAAGGTGCATCTGTTCTCTTGCAATTGGGCAGGGCTGGCTAGCGTGATGAAGCATTCTTGTGAAGATGGGATTGGGAGGCTAGAGTTATACTTGTTGTCACTGACTTATTTTTTCTGATTGTCAGGTCAATGCCCGTTTGTTTACATGTGGATCTTTAAAATAGATACAAGCACTCAGAACACTGAGTGCCTGATTACTTTTTGTATTAGACCAGAAACAAAAAATGTAAATAAATGAACACAACTCACCAATCTCTCTGACATAGGTGTTTTGTCTCCATCCGGCAAATGTTGTTCCAGAGCCAGCACAATACAATTGGCTATGATTGTAGCTAAAATCATGTATTCAAATGGAGTGGGGACCAGAAGTTAAAGAAGACACTAGACAACACAAGAAGAACCTCATACAAATCCCATTTCTAGCTAAACAGTTATACTAGTTGAGCATTTTAAGACCGCTTGTCTTTTTTGAAGACATTTAGTCTCCTTGATTTCTTCAGTTCTTTCTGGGGTGTCTTTGGAAGAAAAGTAGGAAATTGGCTCTCTTCTTTGAGAGAGTTAGTGAGTTACATGGAACCTGAGCTGCTCAAGGAATTTGGGAGCAAGAAAGCAGAAGGTCCAAAGGAAACAAAATGCTATTAATAATTATTATTTTTAAATTAGATTGATAAGCCCCAAAATAGATTATGGAGCTGAATGTCATCTGCTGAGCGGCCCTTCAGAAATTCCCTGTCATTTCACTTGAGCACACAGTGTAAATAAGCGACGGGCTAGAAAAGTTTGGTTTCGCCTGTCTACGTGGGTCCAAACCCACGAATTACCTCTAGATTGCAATGCCCGCTCCTGGCAAGCGTAAAACCACCAGCCCCTGTGGGGATCCGACGGGGGGGGATGCAAACCCGACACGAGGTGCCCCCTTTGCCTTTGGCCGCCGTCCCCAGCCCTGAGCCGCGCCGAGCCCCTGCGCTGCCAGGGCGGAGCCGCACCGCGGCCGCGGGGGGGGCCAGGGCGGCCGAGAGCTCGGCGGGCGGCTCCGCTCAGCACCGCGGACAGCTCCGCTCAGCACGGCGGACAGCTCCGCTCAGCACCGCGGACAGCTCCGCTCAACACCGCGGGCAGTTCCGTTCAGCACCGCGGACAGCGCCCTGGCCGGCTGCGCGGCTGCGGGAGCGGCCGGTGGCTCGGCCGGTGGCTCTGCCGGTGGCTCTGCCGGTGGCTCGGCCGGTGGCTCTGCCGGTGGCTCTGCCGGTGGCTCTGCCGGGCCCCCTCCCCGCACCCCCCGGGAAAGGCGCAGACGAGTCCCCCGAGAGCCAGGAGAGGCCCCGGCCCCGTCCCGCCCTGCGGGAAGGGCGCTGCGCTGCGCTGCCTGCCGCCGGGAGCCGGGGCTCCTCACCCAGCCCCGAATGCAGGGAAGGAGGCACGGATGAGGACGTGCAGCAATCCCTGTGCTTTTCGCATGTGGACAGAACGATCAGGATGTGTGCTCAGGGGGAAGGGGAGTGCATTCACTCTACTGGTGTATTTTTTTCCTGCTAGCCCCTCAGGAAGTGAAAACTGGGGAAGTCAGAGGGGAGCTGGCCTCCGTGGCAATTGAAAGTGTTGCTAGGAGGCTGGGAGGAGGCCTTGCTGTTAGCTGAGGATTAATAGGTGTGTGATATCAAATGAAAAGAAAACAGCCAGCTCCCTTGAGATCACCAGTGTAATGCACTCCTGTACACACACACACGCACGCATACACACACTGTATCTACTCCCTGGCAACCTCAAATAGTCTGATGCCCTTTTTCTCATGGCTTACAGCCCCACTGTGTGCATCATTACAAGCAAAGGCCCCTTCTGAGGAAGATCTCTGCAGCTCACTTGGCCTGGAAGCTGGTTCTGAGACGGAAAGCATCTGCCCCTTTCCCAGTACAGCAGATGATCCTTTCCTCCACTTACTGCCTCCCTCTGCCACAGAGCTTTTTTTTTGCCTTTTTTTTTTTTTTTTTTTAGTACAGTCTAAGCTTAGTCTATGCATCTAATCAAAGTGACAAGATTCATGTTGATTCTAATGGCTTCAGGAGGTGATGTACTAAAAACCTAGCTGCGATGATTGTATTAATGGAATTTGCAAGGTACCTTGGCTATCAGTGTCCCTACTATCAATGCAGCTTTAATGCTAAGGTGTCACCATTTTTATCTCACGTTCCTTCTTCTATTCAGAGTGAGAGAGAAGAGTTGAAAGGCTCTAAGACGGAAATAAGGATCAGGATTCATTAGCATGAGTCTCTACAGAAGCCTTTGCATTTGGCTTAAATTGTAGGAAATGTAAATCTATGCAACTATATATATCTCACACCTAACCACACACTGAAATGCACGTACATCTTTACACACACCCCGGCACAGTCAAAAGCACACTCCACTGCTCCCACAGAAGCAATTTCCTATGATACCCGGCTACACGGCCGTACATTATGTCGGACACACGGATCCATGTCACACACACCCATTACACACACTGGATCACACACGCACATCTACATTAGCACCAGACATTCATCCTTGGCTGCCCAGGGGGACCTCTTTCCCCCAGTCTCCCTCTCCCCCTCCCCACCTTCTCCACCATGCCCACCACACACCCTGCCTGAAAGGATATGGCCATTCTGTTATTCTCTTGGCGTATTTCCGTATAACATTATCTTCACTGAAGATGAAGAGGGATCTGTTGACTGTGAAGCAGTTCTGTTTGACAGGGATGGGGTTGTAGAGAGCCATAGTCCTGGCCCTCTGAGCCATCGACTGCTTATACATCCTTTGGCCGGCTTGGGGGCCACCTTGCCGGCTGCTCCCTCTTCCAGTCCCGGCTGGCCCTCCACCTCCATAGCGGGTTGGCAGATCATCCCCAAACCGAGCCATTCTCTCAGTGCACGGAGCCGGGCGCTACAATCCAAACTGGCAGCCGAGGCGAGAGGAAGACGCATCACAGCGTGCAGCACTTCTCCCTCCGGGGGCTTCAGTTGCGGGATCGGGATTGATCGCAGCAAAATATATAGATATATTTGAAAAAAAATAAAAAATAAAGAAGAAGAAGAAGAAAATAAAATCCCTTTCCCTTCCTCCACCCCCTCCTCTTCCCCGCCGCTGTGGCTGCCCGGGGGTGGGAGGAAGGCGCCGGGGCTCCGCTCACCTCCCCGCACAGGTACCGTCTCTCCGGCCCGACCCCATGGCCGGGGCGGGGGGATGACAGGCAGGGCGGGTGGCCGCGCTCCCTTCCGCGGTGGCCGGGCTGGGAAGGGGCTGCGCTGCTGCCGTGCCCTCCGCGGGAGCGCTCCGCCGTACCCAGCCCAGCCCAGCCCAGCCCGGCTCCGGCTCCGGCTCCAGCCCGGCCCCGCCGCATGTGATGCCCGGAGCCAATCGGCCACCGCGGCTCCGCCCGCTCCAGTCACCGGCACCGGGAGGGAGGGAGGGAGGGAGGGAGGGAGGGAGGGAGGGAGGGAGGGAGGGAGGGAGGGAGGGAGGGAGGGAGGCAAGCCGGGAGGGAGGGAAGGATGAAGGAGGGAAGGAGGGAAAAGGAGGGAAGGATGAAGGATGGAAGGACGAAGGATGGAAGAAGGGAAAGAGGAAAGGATAAAGGATAGAAGGATGAAGGAGGGAAGGTGGGAAAGAGGGAAGGATGAAGGATAAGAGGGAAGGATGACAGGTGAAAGAATGAAGGAGGGAAGGAAGGAAGGAGGGAAGGATGAAGAATGGAAGGATGAACGATAAGAGGGAAGGATGGCAGGTGGAAAAATGAAGAAGGGAAGGAAGGAAGGAGGGAAGGATGAAGGATAAGAGGGAAGGATGACAGGTGGAAGAATGAAGGAGGGAAGGATGAAGGATGGAAGGATGAAGGATAAGAGGGAAGGATGACAGGTGGAAGAATGAAGAAGGGAAGGAAGGAAGGAGGGAAGGATGAAGGACGGAAGGATGAAGGGTGGAGCGGGCCTGGCCACCTCCACCCACCCTGATAAACACAGTGGAACTGGATTCACACACCGGGACCGTGAGGAAGGAGGGACCGACCCCTCACAACACCCCCCTGGCCCTGTGCAGGGCTCCGTGGGGGCACAAAGCCCCAGCCGGGGGGAGCCTCTGTCTGGGGGGGGAACAGGTGAGGCGGCCCCTGCCCAGATGTGCGTTGTCCAGATGTGCACTGAGCAGCTGCTGCACCCATGGGTGCCCCCCCAGGCACAGAGGGGGGTTCCAGGGGTGCGGGCAGCACTGGGCATTGGAGCTGCTGTCACCCCGCTCTGTGCCCTGGGGAAGGCTGGAAGCAAGGGGGTGGGGGGGGATGCAGTGTGAAATGGGGCTTAATGGGGGGACTAAGAGTGTGGGGCCATGGGGGTTCTCATCTCAGATCCAGCCCCTGGGACCATGGGACCAGAGGGCACCACCGTGACAGGGACCAACGTGGGTGGAGGGGGGATGCGACCCCCACCCCAGCTCAGGCCGACAAGGTGTGCGGGGCTGTGCACACACAGGCCAGCCTGGAACAGAGCTGCACCCTCCTGGCCAAATTCTTCTGTTTCTCCTTGGGTTGAATGACTCCTGCAGAGCACTGGAGCACTGGATACCTTTAAGCCCATATTTATGGATGAAATCCTTTAATCCTGTTTATTCCAACACCCTCTGTTGCTCCCATCCGCCACAAGTCAGAAAGCTAACTCCTTGTTCCTGGATGTCAACAGTTACTGCAGTAGCTGGTAAGGATATGCTTTTGCATTTAGGCTAAATCTGGGATACAAACCATTAACTGCTAGAAAGGACCCTCCAGAGAAGTCAGGGCTGTCAACAGGGGGACATTTTCACTTCCCCCACAGTAAGGAAGCCCTGGACTCTGCTGTTAATGTGGTTTTTGCCTTAGTCATCCAAGCTGTCTCAGTTCAAAACCAACCCACCAACTAGGCAAGTCTGTAGCAATAACATCTGCTGGCTTCAGAAGACAGCAAGAGGGCTGGCAACATCCACAAATGGCACAAATAAGGGCCAGCAATATCCAAAGGGTCACTCTCTGGCAGAAACTGGCTTCATACCCAGGGATTTGGTAGCCAAAGGGCTTTCTCACACTGAAGCACAGCCAGAAGGTACCCACGGAGGCAGCTCTGGCTGCTGAGGTGAGCCAGGAGCCGTAGAGGGAAGCAGCAAGGGAGGAAGGTGCATCCCATCCTGTTGCCTGGGGGGTCAGACACAGCGACAGCCACCAACCACCCTGACACGGACGTGGCCACCCGGTTTCTGCAAGCCCTGGGGACCAGGTCAGCAAGAAGAGACTCCAGTCTGTACGTTGCCTTCCCACGCATATGCTGGGAATGTGGTAAAAGAGACCTTCTCCCGCCAGCCCCAGTTTTGAATAATTTGCAAATTAAACTGAATGCTGGAGTCTTTGGGGAAAACTTTGCCTGGTGAAGTCTTTGGGAAATGAGATCTCATACTGTGGTTGCCACCAGGTTGCCTCAGCTCCCACTGGCTCAGGATCCCTGTTACACTCAGACCCTGAGCAGAGACTAAAATGAGAGTATTTCATCCTATGAGCCTTCATCCCTGAGCACTGCCGAGCTGACCCACACGACTGGGTCATCAGGGAAAGTTTCTTGATTTTATGGAGGAAAAAGGAATGTGCAGGGAGCTCACAGCTTGTAGGCTGAACAGGGCAGGAGAATGCTCTTTTCTCTTTAAAGTTTCCCCTAAAAACATTTTCATTTTCATCCTCACTGCATTTTTTTTATATAATGACTTTATCTTTTCATTTGAAAATCAAGTTTCCCCCAGCTGATTTATTTAGTTGTCTAAATTTTTAACTTCTCTGCTTCTGGTCACTAAATCTAATATATTCTGTGGTCTTGTGTTTTCCAGTGGAAAAATCCGGTTCTTTTTATCAGTAGACACTAGAATGGGAAATGCCATTTTCAATAATCCCCCACCTCTTCTGATGGAAATCATTATCTGGAAAAAGAAAAATATTGGTTTCCACAAATCTTCATGTCTGCATCCTCCCGTGCTTACAAGATGGACAAACGACATGACAGATTTGAAAAGTCAAAAAAAAGTGCTGTGTTTTGCATCAAGTGGTACTGAGGATCAGGTAAAACTCTGACCCCCACATCTCCTTCTCTCCTCCCAGATCCACCAAACCATTCTGCCTCTCCTGGGAACAAACTCCCCACCCCGGCACTGCAGTGAAGTCAGCAGACGGGGCGGTGGGGGTGTTTGTGACGAGGAGAAAATGATGCGAGCATGTCGTGGGGATGTTCTATTAAACCACAGTTTGCCCTTTTCTCAATCTGCATGCTCAGGGCTTTTTTTTTCTTTTTTTTTTTACCCCCACCATAGGAAGATCACTCAGGCCTTAAGCACTGAAAGCCTTAAAGACAAGAATGAGATTGCAAGTGCAATAATTATTTAGCTTTGAGAGGCGAAGCATCAGGATTTAGTTGGGCTTTTTAAGAGTATGAAAAGAGCAGGGGAGTTAAGAGAAAGCAAAAAATTTAGAGCACTGAAACAGGTCAGACATCTATAATCTACCACTACAGGAGGGCAAAGAGCATTTCATGGAAAATTCTAAAAATGGATTCGGTCATGAGTAACGCCTCCTCGTAAGCCCCAAAGACAGAGGTGAGCAAATCACACTGCTCTCCAGCACTGGCTGTCCTGGCTTCAGCAAGGAGCCTTCCTCCTCCCCTAGCAGCTTTGCCAGGCAACCAAGCATTTCCCTGGACTTTCACCTCCATCCCAAGCACCAAGCCTGAGGCAGGGGACTGGGTTTAATGGAGCAGCACTTCCATCTGGAAAGGCGAAGCCTGCCTTGCTGAGACAGGGCAGAGAAAATGGTACAATATTGCAGGTCTTTGTGTGTCAGATGACTGGAACACTTGGATCATGGCAAGCACCAGTGACACTATTTATTTGCCCTGGTAAAACCTCTGGAAGGGTTTCTGGTTGAACCACAAAGAAGTGGACTTCCAGCTTGCTGTGCTCCAGAGACATGAGCGCAGATGAGGGACAGTCACTAAAATTCAGGGTCACAACCCCAACATCCCCTTGGCTGTCATCCCCAATGAGCAGGTGTCTTGGTTTGCGCAGGTTAGGAGGGACACATCTGCAGAAACAGCAGCAGGCAAGTGAAAGATTTCTTTCTTTAAGAGAGGAAGGGACTCCCGCCACGCTCTGACTGTCCTGTGTCCTGGCCTACACACTGAGTGGCTCAGAAGGAAGGTCAAGGTTTCCTGGCACACCTTGTGTTCAGGTGAGCTCAGGGGTCGGGCAACTGTGGGTAGGCTGTTATCTGCCCCTCAGAACTTGCAAGATTGAGGAACAGAGCAGCTACTTCGATACATCTTGAAGCTCCGGACCCAGGCTAATGCCAAACAGAGCAGCTCCCAAGAGCGTAATTCCTTTAAAAACTAAATAAACAACACAGACTGCACATCACCTTCCAGCCCACATGAAGGTCCACAGCTCCAGGCCAGGAGAAGCAGCTTACCAAAGCATTCCTGGCAAGTCATTTCTGCTCTCCTCGCTCACGTGCATGCATTTTACACCAGCTGTGCCAGAGGAAAATCCTGCTGTGATGCAGGTAGAGAAAATTGTTAAAGGTTGTGCTCGAGTCTGCCAGGCAATGTAGAATGGCATTATGCAAAAAAACAGCAAGGGGACGGCAGTGAGAAAGGCGATTGGCTACTTTTTATCAAAAATAAAAGGATAAAAGGGGGAAAGGGAGGCGTCATGAAGATAAAGATCCTCTTATGCAGGTGTCATGATCATGGTATCATCTGCAATACAGTCCTAAACCACTGGGGCCAATTACTGTTAGCTGCTGTACAAATCCAGGGCAAGAAAGACCCTGCCCCTGAGAGCTCATAGGTTGGGCTGGGAGTATTGATGGCAAAGCCCTTGGGTTGTATCTGGCTGGCACAGCAAGTTCGTCTCTGAACAACTGGGGTGCACAAACCTCCAAGCTAGCACCATGCCAAGTCCACAACACCACACAGCTCTTCCATCCCGGGAGATCAGAACAAGCTTACTATTTACAAGAGCTTAGTCTAAACAGTCAAAATGGAAGAAAGGGAAACTGAGGCACAGCGCTTACAGCCATGCAGCGGGTCAGGGAGGGAAATCAGATACCAGGAGTCCAAGCTCAGCACCTTCTCCACATCACCTCTCCACCTTGAGTGAACCACAGGAGATTAAGAGTGGTTGCACTTGTTCTGTTTCTCTTGAACTTAATTCCTTTGTAGATGGACCATGACATGAAACCCAGTAGCTGTTCCTTGGCTGTGGAAGACTTTAGCTGAGTTAAGTTTGCTGGTATCTTTGCTTCATGTTCCAGGTAGCTAAATAACCAGGC